TTTTAATGAATTTAGGACAAGGTCTGCAGGATCTCACTGCATAGATCGGACTCGTACTGATTCTCCTGTTTTCAGTCTCCTATGTGCTGGGATTACAGGTGTGCGCCAACATGTCCAGCCAAACATACCCATTCCCAATCCCTGGCTCAGTGCGCCTCGGGGGTGGGACCAGAGATCAAACCCTGGCCACTGTGAGCTGTGGAAGCAGGTGCTTTAGTCCTCTGAGCTATCTGGCTGGCCCCCTAAAGATCCCATTTTTTTTTTGGTGGTACCAGGGATTGAACTCAGGACCTTGAGCTTGCCAGGCAAGCACTTATTCCACTGAGCTATCTCCCCAGTTCCCTGGGAACCTATACAAAGCCAAGTGGACTTCTTGAGAATTATCCTCAGAGAAAAAACAGATAAAGAGACTGTAAGAAAATTATAAACCCAGATCCTACACAAATTTTGGTGTGTGTGTGTGTGTGTGTGTGTTAGAGGGGATCAAACCCAAGACTTTGTGCATGCAAAGCAAGCGCTCTACCACTGAGCCATAGTCCCCTTCACAAATATTGATGCAAATATTCTAAGAAAAAATTTACTACATAGACTCCAAAAAAAAGGAAGCTTCTTAAGTCAATCCAAGGAAGCACAGTGGAAGGGTCAGTGTACTTTTCATGAAATATCAACTGTAGTAAATGAGACACAAAGAAATAGAGAACAAATCCTTCTCCATATCAATATACCCACATTCTTTAGGGTCTGTGTTAAGTAGTCAGCTGTGATTCTGATGGGCTTTCCTTTATAGGTGATTTCTTTTCCTTAACAGCTTTTAATATTCTATTCTTGTGTTGAATTTCTGGAATCTTGACTGTGAGAGACATCTAAAATACCTTTGTATTCATAATCCAATGGAAAAGTATCAACCCATAGCCCACACTAATGGATTCATAAAAGCTAGTTCCAATTTTATTATTATTATTATTATTTTGCGGAACCGGGGATTGAACTCAGGCCCTTGCACTTGCCAGGGAAGCACTTATTCCACTGAGCCATCTCCCTAGCCCCCAATTTTTTTTTATTAATTTCTGTCTGATCCTCTCCCTCTTAAAGTGACTTGTTCAGCTGAAGTTAAATCCTTTTCCATATTTCCTTTACTTTCTAACTCTAATAAATCTGCCTACACTTCTCGTTGATGTATCCTGAAACTTATTCTGATGCAAGTCAATGAACCTGAGTGGGGTGCAAGCCAAGATGGGGCCTCTCCTAATCTCTCTGGGAGACCTCCGACAAAATGCCAATTTTGTGATTTCCGGTGGAACTGAGCAAAAAACCCAGGGAGGATTGGTAGCAGTTGCATCTTTTTTGTGTGTTTTCTTGGTCACAAGTGAATCCAGTGCAATAGAGTAAAGCTTGTTGAGCGTGGCTCAAACTGCCCCTTATTTTACTTATTAGCTTATATAGATAGCATTTCTTTATAATTATTCCCCCACTCCCCATATTTCTAGTTTCTTACACGTTTACGAGGGAACACTGAGCAATTGAGAACCCACGTGCTACAAGCACCTTTTGAGACTACCTAATGCAAAATGTAAATTTCAGGGTAGTGGGCAGCTCAGGATTACACAGAATTCTGGGATATGTAGTCCAAAGATTTTTTTTTTTTTCTATGATTGCAGCACTTTTGGCCCAGCAAAGCGCGATAATGATCACTGCTCCACTGAGGAAGGAAGAAACTACAGTATAACGCATGGCCCATATGTTTGCTAGTTTCCTGCTACCTGAGAGAGAGAATAGGAAACTAGTTCTGCTGGAGGATTCTGGGAAACGCGACTCCTTCTGCAGGTATCTGCGCATGCACTTCCGCTCTAAAAGGCGGGGTTAGCGTTTCGGTGCCTCGCAGGATCCAGGGAAATGTAGTTCCAGAGCGCCGCGTAGCCCGGACACTTCCGCTGTCCGCTGTTGAACCCGCGGCCTGCGTTTGTCTTAGGGAGGTGAGTGACTTGGGAGTCCCTCGACCTCTCTTCTTTTGTGGCCTGGGTCACTGCGGAAGAGGCCGCGGCCAACGGCGGAGGGCGGCCTTGGGGGGCATTGAGCGGGTGTCTGTGAGCCGCTCTCCAGAGCCGCTGCCTTGGGGGCCGTTCGCGGGTTCCGGCTGCGTCTGTGGATGCCCGCGGTTCCTCGTGGGCCAGCCCGCCTGGTTCCCCTCGCTCGCACGCTGTCGCGGCTAGCGGCGTAGCCCGTTGAGGGAGCATCGTTCTGCGCCTTCGTTTCCGCGTTACGGGCACCCACTCACCTTACACATTTGTTTTCGGACTCGGGATGGAGCGCACGTAGAATGTTTGGAACGGTGCGGGCGTGTGGCCAGGTGTAGTATTACAGTAGCAGGAGGAGTGTTCTTGTCGTGGAAGCTTCTCGAGGCGACCTTTTTGATACCGAAGGGAAAGGAGAACGTTCCGCTACTACTACCTCTCCGCTTTTCTCTTTGCTGTTCTTAACAGGTTTTGCTACATTAGCTGGAATACTCTAAATTTATGAACCCTTTTGAGAAAATCTTCCATTTCCATCCCGTTTTTCCAAAATGTGCTGAAAAAGTAGTGTTCTGACCAGATTCAGAACAGCATGCTTTAACACCTCCTATATCTCTCCACTGCTGTCTGGTGATAAAGGATTCTCAGAAAGCAAAAGGTAGGCTCTCTTCAGATCCTGTACAACTTATGAAAAAAAAATGTAAAGGAAAAAATGCATTACTCATCGATGGATTCTTGGGGTATCCTCTGGATTTTCCAAGATCACAGACATGCTCGTGGTACCCCCCTGCAAGCCTCGTTTCCTTTCCCTGCCCCTCCTTCAGCAAGAAGGCCGCAGAGAAGATGGGGTGTGAATCCTGGGCCGTCAGAGGCCATTGTAGCCGGTCCTAGTATTTATCTTCTTTTTTTTGCGCCCAGTGGGAGAAGGTGTTGTGTTCATTAGATTTTTGTTATACATACAATAACTGGATGTTCAGTTATTGTTGAATATTTGGGAAGATACATGAGATGAGCAACCGCTGTAGTAGCTATACATTGAGTGCTAGGTTGCGTTCTAAGGACTTCATAAAAAATAGCGCATTCAGCCTTCACAGAGCTGCCTCGCTAGTCCTGCGAGTGCGTTATTTTACAGGGAATAAAAAGAAATGGAAACAATGGGTTATTTGTGCCCCAGTTCTACTAAGAATAGTGGAATTTGTGTCTAGAGCTTGTGTTCTTTCTCTTTTGATATTGTTGGTCATAACAGTTTGGAATCTCGAAATTGGAATTAGAAGATTCAATAGGAAAACAATCTATGAAAATATCCAACTATAAGAAACTAGCTGCAGAGGTGTTATTTGGCAGCAAGTTGGGAATGAGATTGGAATTTTATTTATTGTTAACGATTTTAAAAATTGCTTTTTGTGTTTTGTGTAGAGGCTTTTGAAGCACAGTGAGTTTCAACTTATCTGTAAAATTTTTAAGCATTTTCACTTAATTTTAAGCAATATATAATTCTAATCATAAAAATGAAGCTCTTTGTAGAGAATTCATAAAGTATAGAAATATGTAAAGAAAAATTATCTATACCTTTTAGATACAGGTACTCCTTGTTGAAGAAGTGAATTTCATTCCTGTAATTAGGGTGCTGAGTGAGACATTGTGTGTAGTATGTGCGTTACAATATTCAAAACAAAAAAATAGTCAGAAGAAACTCCAGCTTGATGATTTTGCTTTTTATTTGCGTAACTCTTACATGCAGTACTATAATGTCTAACAATATAAAACTACAGTGTTGTACCTTACAATTAGCAAAACTTACAGTGTAAACATTACTATATAAAATTGTAGGGGCTGGGTGAGATGGCTCAGTGGTTTAAAGCACCTACTTAGAACAAGTTTAGCAAAGCACAGGGCTGGCGGTTCAATCCCCCAGCACCACATGCCAGCCAGCCCCGCCCCCTGGTGGGCTGAGCTGGCCACACACACACACACACACAAATAAAAAAAAAATTGTAATATAAAATTACTGTTTAACACAAGCTGTCCTGTACAAAAAGACATTGAGGCTGTATAAACGAGATGTCCAGAACTGTTTATTTTTTTAACAAAGGCAGAAGTCTGACCAGCTCTCCTGGGTCATAAGTCTCATCAGTCATTAAACCGGGCATTGAACGAGGAGTATCTGTATTAACATTTTTATGCATCTTTGTTGGTTTTTGATGTATATTTGTCTCTGTGTTCTAAAACTGTCACACTGTGTAGTGAGATTTTGCTTGTTTACTGTAGAAATTTCTGAACATACCCAGTATATGTATAATGAAGTCCTATGTAACAACTGTCCTGTTAACCTTGCTCATTGATTATTTTAAAGCGAATGCAGATGTTGAGTCAGTAAGACTTAAAAAATTATCATAAACTAGGTGTGTTATCACATAACTGTATGTAAACCCAGCATTTTTGAGAAGCTGAAGCAGGAGGCTCTCAAATAAGTTTAACCCCTATCTGGGCAACTTAGTACAGTAGTGAGAACCTGTCTCAAAATACAAATAAGAAAGGATGGAGTGTACTTCAGTGTGAAGGAATACTATAAAAAAAACACTTATGTATGAAGACTAAGAAATGAGAGGTTATATTCATTTACTAGAGGTACCATCACAACATACCACAGCCTGGGTGTCTTTTTTTTTTTTTTAATTTTATTTATTTGTGTGTGTGTGTGTGTGTGTGTGTGGCCAGCTCAGCCCACCAGGGGGCGGGGCTGGCTGGCATGTGG